TAACAATAAAAGAAAACACTAGCATTAAATAACAACAACATTACGAATACATATTGAAATAACATTAGTACATGATAGATCACGGTTCAAAGAAAAATATTTCAATAACTACTGCTTAAATAAAAATACAACATCACACGGTACTAAAATAAAAATACATCATAAACCCAACAACTGAAAACAAGCACGAATACTTAGTAATCTGGCAAGTTGGCACCGCTTCCTCCAAGATCATTGAAAAATTGGCCAAATGCATTAGTCGGATATGGATCCGGTTGGGCTTGTTGAGCTCTTTTCTCCAAGATTCGTGCCTTTTCAGCTTCAATGTATGCTCGAACTCTAGGATCTTTAATGGAACTGACATCTGGAAACATAATTTTATTTTCTTCCCTCATTTCTTTTAAAGCGAGGGATCTATTGTGCATCTCCATTTGATGTTTTATTTGGTCGTTTGTATTTTTCATCTCATCAACAAGTCTTTTGTTTGCTTCTTTCATCGCATTAATGAGCGATGATGAATCATCATTTACCTTTCTTTTTAGTTTGGCTTTCTTGACCCCGATAGGTCTTTCAGATGGAGAACCAGTAGCACATTGATCCGAGTCGCTTAAATTTATAGAAAATAAAGAAATACCTGCGGATTCTTGTCGGGCAGACTCAGGAGTTGGATTTTTTGACTCCGAAGATGGATAACAACCAGACTGTTTTTTCTTGCTCCTCGAAGTTCCATCTTTAAATTTTTCAAAGTTTTTAATAATATCCCAAACATGATCGTATTTCCATCCGGATTTGAATTTGGAATCTTCCTTGAACAACACTTTTGCTCTGAGCATCTACAATTTTCATAAACAATTAACCATAGCTAATATAAATAATAAATTTAATAAATATAAAATACAATCAGATTTTAGTACTCATTGTATCTTCATTTGATGCACCACTCGGATGCATATCTTCTACTGCTTTAATGCATGCATGGAGTCTTTTGGCTGCTTTTTCGATTGTTTGAATTCGTGCTTGCATAGATCTCTTGGTACGAACCTCCCAATGCTCAAGTCGTCCTTCATTGAAAGCATTTTCAATACGGGACCAAAATCGATCAGATGATTGGTATACTCCAATAATTGGGTCCTGAGAAATATCCGTATAAACTTGACATAAAAGAACATCTTCATCATGGTTATAGGAAGATGAACGGATCAACATTCTTACAAGAAGTTAATTGTGCTAAAGCTTTAGTGTAGAGAATAAAAATGTTGGGGTGTATTCACTACAATATGATATCTTCTTTTATAGTGAAAGACCATCTCCTCTCTCCATGCTTTAACCCGAAATGACATATCACTGCAATGACCCGAAAATGACAACTCTCTGCAAAGTTGATCACGCTTATCAATGTTCTGAACCGAAAATGATATATCACTGCAAACTTGATCACGCTTAATCATGTTCTGACCCGAAAGTGACATGTCACTGCAAAGTTGATCACGGTTATCAATGTTCTGACCTGAAAGTGACATGTCACTGCAAAGTTGATCACATTTATCCATGTTCTGACCCAAAAGTGACATGTCACTGCAAAGTTGATCAAGGTTATCAATGTTCTGACCCGAAAATGACATATCACTACAATGTCCCCCACCTCTCTCAATGCTTTGACCCGAAAGTGGACACCCTCTGCAAAGTTGATCACACTTATTCATGTTCTGACCCGAAAATGACATATCACTGCAATATCCACCACTTCCATTGCTTTGACCCAAAAATGGTCACTCTCAGCAAAGTTGATCACGGTTATCAATGTTATGACCTGAAAGTGACATGTCACTGCAAAGTTGATCATGGTTATCAATGTTCTGACCCAAAAGTGACATGTCACTGCAAAGTTGATCACGCTTATTCATGTTCTGACCCGAAAATGACACATCACTACAATGTCCCCCACCTCTCTCAATGCTTTGACCCGAAAGTGGACACCCTCTGCAAAGTTGATCACACTTATCCATGTTCTGACACGAAAATGACATATCACTGCAATGTCCACCACTCTCATTGCTTTGACCCGAAAATGGTCACTCTCAGCAAAGTTGATCACGTTTATCCATGTTCTGACCCGAAAATGACACATCACTGCAAAGTTGATCACGCTTAATCATGTTCTGACCCGAAAGTGATATGTCACCGCAAAGTTAATCACGGTTATCAATGTTCTGACCCGAAAGTGACATGTCACTGCAAAGTTGATCACGCTTATTCATGTTCTGACCCGAAAATGACACATCACTACAATGCCCCCCACCTCTCTCAATGCTTTGACCCGAAAGTGGACACCTTCTGCAATGACCTCTCACCTCAAAGACTGTCACGCCTATCAATACTTTGACTTAAAAATAACCACTCCCCACAAAGGTTACCACGCCTTTCAAATTCACTACTATAAGAACATAACATATACTAAATCCATCACACACTTGAATCTCTTCAAACATATTTTCATATTTCTCCATCTTTCTACAATGAATTTTAATTTTGGCAATTCGTCATCTTCTTTCTCTGATTCTGAGGATGATCATATGCTAATTATGAATGCTCTTCGTCAAAAACAAGCAGTGATAGCTCAAGCTATCGCTAATAACAACATCATCATTCAACATCTTATCAATCAACAAAATCAAGAAGCCTCCCATGGAGGATCTGTTCCTGGGCATATTTTTATCAATCGTGATCGAGAGGCTGCTGATCGTAGGTTGTACAATGATTATTTCTCAGAAAATCCATTGTATAACGAGACCATGTTCCGTAGAAGATACAGAATGTCTCGCTCGTTGTTCCTTCGAATTGTCGACGCAGTCAAAGATTATGATCATTACTTTCAACAGCGAGTGGATCGAGCATGCAGACTTGGATTATCTCCAATACAAAAAATAACTGTTGTCTTTCGTATGTTGGCATGCGGCGTTCCAGCTGATGCTACAGACGAGTATGTTAAAATTGGTGAGTCCACTGCAATTGAAAGTATGAAAAAATTTTGTCGATCGATAGTTGAGGTATTTGGCGAGCGATATCTACGGAGGCCCACATCTGATGATATTTCCAGGCTTCTATACATTGGCCAGCAACGTAGTTTTCCAGGAATGTTGGGGAGTTTAGATTGCATGCATTGGAGGTGGAAAAATTGTCCTACAGCGTGGGCTGGCCAATATGTTGGTCGTAGTGGAAAGCCTACAATCATTCTTGAAGCTGTAGCAGATTATGATCTATGGATATGGCATGCTTATTTCGGTTTGCCGAGCTCCAACAACGACATCAACGTTCTAGAATCATCTCATCTTTTCTCATATCTAACCCAAGGTATTGCTCCTCCAGCTCATTATATAATTCAAGGAAAAAAATACAACATGGGTTATTATTTAGCTGATAGCATATATCCAAAATGGTCTACCATTGTGCAACAATTCATGAGCCACGTGGTCCAAAGAAAAAATATTTTGCAATGAAACAAGAAGTCTGCAGAAAAGACGTTGAACGTGCATTTGGAGTTCTTCAATCACATTTTGGCATTGTAGCAGGACCAGTACATTATTGGCGAAAAGAAGTGCTACATGATATCATAACCACATGTGTAATTTTGCATAACATGATTGTCGAGGATGAACGTGACCTAAGTGCACCAATAGAAACTGAAATGGAAATGCCGCCGCCGGAGGTCGAAATGGCAGTAGATGAAAGTACTCGATTTCAAGAATTTATATCTCGGTACAAAAAAATTAGAAATAAAGATGATCATATTGCACTTCGGAATGCACTAATTGATCATTTATGGGAAGAATTCACCAACTCCGAGACTTGAACGACTATCTATTTTTACGTGATTGTTGTAATTTTCTATTTTATCTTGTGTGTTGTAATATTTAAATTTTCATTTTGCGTGTTGTAATTTCTAATTTTCATGTGTGTTGTAATTTTTTATTTTTCATCTTGTGTGTGGTAATTTTTAATTTTTCATCTTGTGAATTGTAATTTTTAATTTTATTTGTGTGGTGAAATTTTAATTTTTAATGAATATTTATTTCTCCGATTTTATTATGTATAATTAATTTTAATTACATAACGTCCAAATTGAATTTAAAATAATAGTGTGGTTTAATTTGTAAAGTTGTAAAATATGTGGGTAGTATTGAAAAGTTATAAAAGTTGAAGTAACAGAGAATATTTTGGGAATATTCTTTTGGGTTTGAGAATGAGTTTTTCGGTTGGAGATGAATTACTGCAAAATGGGATAGTTACTGCAAAATGGGTTTGAGTTTGAGTTTTTCGGTTGAAGATGGCCTTAATACTCAAATGTTTTGCATGACATTTCCAACTTGTGTCACAGTGTGTTGAAAATAATTGGAAATTACATTTAAAAATAATTGTAATTTTCAACTTTACTTCAACTTTTGTCAGTTAGACTTGAAAAACAAAGACTTTTATGTAATTTTACAAACTTCAAATTTTCAACTTTAATTCAACTCAATAAGGCTCGGGTTTGGTTTGTAAATTATGAGAAAGTAGTTAAGCTTGTTCACCATCACCGGCTCGCTTACCTAACGAACTAAACTAATAAAGATTCGAGTTCGAGCTCGGTTAGTTTACAGTTGTACTTGTCACTAATTTTTAGCATGCAAATCCCCTCTTTTTCATGGACCCGTCAAATATTCCACAAGCAATGGCAACATAAGAAAATAAAACAAAAGTAGGGTGTCATCTGTCGGTCAAACACTGTCTTTCATTGCACCTCACATAAACAATTTGCTCATTATTAGTTTAGATATATACATTTTTAGTGCATGAACATGTCTACATTTTACAAGCTTTGCTATCATCACAAATTTCTTCCTGCAAAAACAAACCAAAGAAAATTTATTTATTTATTTATTTTTCAAAAGCTAAGTTTATGTTATGCACGGACAATTCGACAGTAAGGTGCAACTCCAACTTACTTAAAATCTCCTACTTTTCCTTCTTTCATTTTCACACACACAAGAACAAATGCAGCAATACAAGCTCTAAAGATTTTATAAACAAAACACAGTGTATAGCGCAAAATGGGTGCTTTTAGTGTCTAGATTTTGGGTTAAAACTTAAAACTTATCAGTAAATGTGAATTATGTTAAGTTACTACGTAATGCACATTGTTGTCGTATATTTTGAAATATTATCCACTGCAGTAATGTGCAATTTCGAGCACGGGTTTTGTTTTATCGTCAAAATTTTCTCTTGTAGATGCAATACAGTGCCATAAAAATTATGCTATTCGTGCGTGTATTGAAAAAACGAAATCGTGTTTATAAACTAATAGGCAATAGCAAACCTTTTTCCTCCTTGCCTCCAGAACTTCTTCTAGAGGTGGTCGACCTGTAAAAAGTTGTTTTTAAAACAAATAGTTTCTTTAATTAGGAAAAAGGCAAAAATCTACATAAAAGAAACACCTAAATAAATAGAAAAATTGAACCTGTAATTTGGAGACGATATTTAGCCCAAAGACCATAAACAGCATTGGCAATGCTTGCAATCTGTGGAAAGGCATGTCCATTGATTGTAAGTTTTTTGGGAGGAAATATATATCAGATATTGAGAATTCATTCCCAATTGCTAAACTAAATTGTAATCTTGCTCAAGGAAGACTTACAGGTTCAAATTTTGTAATGGCGTAGACCCATCCCAAACCGACCACTTCATAAAGTCTTCTAAATGCCTGCAAGATGAAATCACTCGTACACATTTACTCTTCCTTGCGAACTCCATAAGAAACCAACTCATAAAACTAACTCGGTAAAAGCAGTCAGTAAATAGTCTAATGATGAAAATAAGTTACTTTCGAAACTGGAAAGTACATTAAAAAATACTACCTCAACATCTCTCACAACAGTTCCATCCGAAAGAATCGCATGAATTCGGCCCATTACCTGTGTTTTCAAGAAAACTAAAAGCATCACCAAAAGAAACGGAAAACAAACATAAGCAAATAAATTCAGAATTTTCTTCTAAAAACAAATTAGTGAAATTACTAGAAGTCAATAAGATATCATACGGTTTTGTAATCAAGGCCTTGATTGTCCTCAGGGCTGTATTCATCCGAACTTATGTCCACGAATTTGATGGCTCGGTAGCGTTCATTCCTCTCTCTCAACATATTAACCTTTGCAATAAGATTATTCAGAGCAAAATTTAACATCAACAACAAAGACAAAGTATTTTTGACATTCTAGTAATCAAGAAACATTTATTCCATTCAACATCAAGAATTTTTTATTTTTTATTTTTCCTTTTATTTTCCTTTAGCACTCACTTCTTTCATGCAGAGTGGACACTCCCCGTCATAAAGCATCTTAATTTTCCAATTCTCCCATGTGTCTTCTACAGTTTCTTTATTGGGAGCCCCTCGAGGATCGGCAGCTGTTCCATTTATGGCCCGAATCAAGAATTTCACTCCTAAAACCATCACAAGCCCATTCATAAACACCATGGAAATCCAAATAAAGACTTTGTGCTTGGAATGGGGGTGTGAGGGAAAAAATGTAAATGGATGTAAAAGAAAAGGTTTCACACACTGAAAAATGAAGGGTATGAAACATATACTCATATCCATTCACAATACTTTCATACTCAAAGCTATTCACATTCCCCAACAATTGACAAGCAGCCCTTAGTCCCAACTATGCAACATGTATAGCCTACAAAAATTATCTAGAAAAACACATTAGTTACCCATTTTCATTTTCCCACTCATCAATAACCTCAAATTATCCTTTTTACTTCATAAATGAGAAAAAATAAGATCAACTATCACCAATACACAACAATTATTGCAAATCTGAACCACAACAAATATGTTACCAGCCACAAATCATCACACCAACCACAATCAAACAATTTATTTCATTTTATCAACTAATCCTTGCACAAATGTGAAGTGAGGAAATTGAAAATCGACAGCCCACAAAAGATAATTGAAAAAAGCTCATAGCTTTAAGCACAAACGGACAAGGGCTGTGAGAAATTTCAGTCATACACATACATACCCGATTGACGATTAGGAAAAGGGGCTTTCGATCTGAACAAAGGTATTGTTGAAGCAGAGGCATCATAAGCTGTTCGGAGATGGCGAGGAGTGACCGAGAAAATGGAGGTGTTTGCTTGTTTTCCGAGAGCGATTGCTCCTCTGAAAGCCATTAAAGCTAACTCTTGTCTGATAATTGTGATTTGAGATTAGGAAATGCAATTTTGTGTTGGGGGTAATTTTTGTGTTTGTTTGGACAACGGTTTTCGTGTTGCGTGGCATCACCTTCTTCATGAGAATGTCCAGTTGTTTGGGTCTGGGTAAAAACGACGTCGTTTTTAGCAAGTTCACTCCTGGACCGCCAGATTTTAAGGACTATATCCCTACCGTTCATATGACACCTTAAATACTACCTCATCTCATTGTGGCACCAACTCTCTCACATGTTGCGGCTGAACTCGCTCCTCCTATGCTTGACGACCTGACCTTCGAGTGGTGGTGAGATGGGAGTAATAAGAAGACCGGGCCTACGGCTAGGCCCGCCGAGTCATATGTTACATATATATGACCAGAACTGATTCGGTATAAATCCATTCACGAGCCCAGACTAGTGGTCAACAGGTTAGATCAGGGCGAATTCATGTTGTTTTTAGGTTGGGTGACCCGTAACCATCTCTAGGATTAATTGTCTTTTCCGTAATAATTCAAGCGCAAGTGGTAAGGGTATGGAGATGAAATCTCAAATCTAATAAACTTTATTGATCGTAGTCTGCTCTCCAAGACTCCAAAGCAAAGAGAACAACAATAATGATTCTGGCTAAATAACATTACTCATATTATAAATGATATGTTATGTACGTACACATAGGGTTGTAAATAAATCAAACATTTTTTATTTGATTCGTGATTCGAATTCGAATGATGTTTTAGATTCGAAATTATAACGAATTCGAATCCGAAAGTGTAGATATTCGATTCGAAATTCGAATATTCGATTCGTTAACAATAATTACATAAATTTTACAAATTATATATAATATACATTTTGTTTATAATATATGTATATATATATATATATATATTGTTATATTCCTAATATTTTTATGACATAAAAATTAAAAATATCATAAATTAACAATTTTTTCTAAAAATATATGAAAAATAAAATTTATTTTTGTAATTATAATATTTTTTAATTATAATATTCTTATACAAATTATATATAATATATTTTGTTTATAATATATGTGTATATATATATATTGTTATATTCCTAATATTTTTATGACATAAAAATAAAAACATCATAAATTAACAAAATTTTCTAAAAATATATGAAAAATAATTTTTTTTTGTAATTATAATATTTTGTAATTATAATATTTTTTGAAAACGAATTTCGAATCGAATCGAATATGTTCGAATATTCTAAACGAATCAAATACGAATCAAAAAATGAATTCGTTATCGAATCGAATCACGAATCGAATCTTCGAATATTTTAAACGAATCGAATCGAATCTCTGAGTATTCGCTTTGATTCGATTCGTTTACAACCCACCTACACACATTCCAATTGTGTAGTAATAGATTCTTGTTTTGCTTTACGTATACTCTTCAATTTGTCATAAATATTTGTCCCAAGCCAACGTTCATCTTTATTTATTAACTATTGAGGAAAACCTTCAACAAGACGTGCATTTAATTTCTTTGACCACTCTCCACGCATTGCATTAATCCTCACTCAAAACAAAAAAGTAAAATAAAATTCGTCCTTTTATTTTAAAGTTTGTACTACTAAGGCATTTCCAATGGTAATAGCTATTACTAGCTATATGGTTAGCTGACGTGGATGTGAGAGATAAGAAAAATAACTATTTTACACTATTGGACCCACGTACTCCTCTCACATGATCTTCGGCTACGTGAAATAGATAAGCTATTTGTTAGTAGCTAGTGACTACTCTCTCTCTTACTTTTTCCCTGTCCACGTCACAATAGTTAGCCAAATAGCTAACCATTGGAGAAGCCCTAATTACCTATGGATAACCCCACCATTAATGTCATAGGTGCTACTAATTTACAAGAATTAGTATTCATTTACACATATACAAATAAATTTATAAGCTATTTGTATTCATATAATATTAAAATTATAAGTCAGATAATAGTATTATTTTTTAAACATAGAGTATTATAAGTTATATTTTTTAATATAATATTATAATTAGAAGTTAGATAATGGTTTTATGTTTTAAAATGTGATCATTGGTTAAAATAAAAAAGTAGTAACGATTTGATTGCATATGAATCACTATACTTATTGAATATAATGTAAAATCATGTAGCAGTTTTTGGAATGTTGAGGGATCGTGGCTAATTACTTAGTTGAAAAGTATTAAATTTATTATAACAATTGCTTATGTGTTTTAAAGAAATTTTACTATGATATTAAAAAAATATTTTATTTAAAAAAATCTTAATTGGATTAAAAAATAGTATTATTTTAGAATAAATCATTTGAAAAAAAAAATTCGCAATATAATCGGTTACGTTTATGTAACTTTCATATATCATTTAGTGTAAATTATAACTATTCATTTTAACAATAACTATTATATGATTCAATAAAAAAAAATATAATTATTACTTAATTAATGTAGAAGGTAACAATTTTTATTTTAATTAACCCAAAAAAAAAAACAAATGAAATATTTTATCATTAATGTAATAGAGGTGATTAATTAATATCGCATAGGTAAATTTATTAGGTTTTATTTAAGGATTTGTTCCATAGGTAAAATTTATTAGATTTTATTTATCATGTTTTATTTAATGACTTGCTAGCAATTATATATATATATATATATATATATATATATATATATAAGGATTGATTCAAAATAAAAACTATTCTTGGTGTGAGAACCGTGAGAACTATATTTGATGTTATTTATAATTGTGCATGATGTTATTTTTAATATATATGCTGCTATCATTTTCACATAATGCTAATATAATTTGTGTTGCTATTTTTAATAAAATACATTCTGTTAAAAATAACACAAACACACAATAAATGATAGCACTACGTGCAACTAAAACTAACGGTTCTCACGCTAGGACTATGTTCTCATTTGAACCACATGCTTCAAGGCTCGTTTATCACGAGCTGGTGCCAAGCCTGTTTCTGGTCGGTTGCCCGGTTCAACCCATGGTCACGTCTAATGGTCCGCCATGGATAACACCACCATTAAACACATCACGGGGTTCTTTTATAATATTCATATGGTGACCCCATCACTAATCATATCTGTTATTAAACACCTCCTATTCTCTAATTACTTCATCTTCAATGATGTGCTTTTCCAATGTTGGTATCCCAAAAGTAAAAGAGTTCAAAAATTAATATCATAATTTCTATTTATATGTAGTGCTTTTGAAATTGTTTTT